TTCTCGGTGCTCCCCGCCCCCCGCTCTCGGTGCTCATTTAAGAAAAAATAAACCAGCCCTGCTACTTGTCCGTAGCAGGGCTAAAACAGTGTAAAAAGCACTTGCCCGGAACTACATGTCCCGGCCGTCCGGCGATACGAATTCCACACCCCTGTTAATGTTCCGTGGGCGGCCCGGTACCGGTCCGCGGCCCGGGGGTTGGGGACCACTGCTCTATACGGAGTGTTCCTGTTCATTGAGAATATAGTATGTTTACTATAACTACAATTATGAATGAACAGGAGGGATATAGATCACTCCCATTCATTCATAATTGAGGATATAGTAACCATACCATGTCCTCAATTATCTACAAACACTCAGCGATCACTGATCACTGAGTGTGTGTACATTGCTCTCCTCTCTGACACAGACACACGCTGTCACAGGAGGCTGAGCGAGCAGTGTAGGAAGGAAAGCCCAGCTTCCTGTGACATCGCTGTCTCTGCCCCCACACCGATCTGCCGGACTGTGATAGGCGGCTGAGCGTGTGGGAGGAGAGACACCGGACGATCACGGCGGTCTCCTCCCGCAGTGCTCGGCTGGCTGTCACTTTCTCTCCTCCCTGCTGGGACAAAGAGCAGCGCCCAGCGGGGAACAAAGAAATCACGGCTGCGCGGACAAAACGGCAGGAAAATGGAACTTTCGGCATTTAGCCAAAAGTGCCATTTTCGGCCTGCGCCCCCCTTCATCTTTTAGCCCGGGGCCAGCACACCGGCCGCCCCCCTGGCAGTTACGCCACTGTACCAAGGGCTTGTATAGACAGACATTTTTACCCTGCACTTAACATGATAAACGCATGCCAAATTCAGGTCAACCGATTTCCATCTACTTCAGAGGTGTGGTAGTGTGAATGACATTTCTGAGGCTTCCTTTGACCTGCTTTGCTTGTGTTGCATTTCCCTGGAATCAATACATTCTATTGATATGCATGTCTGCAGGCAGAGCAGGTCAGACGTAGCCTTTTGCTGGGTCTGAACTATTGTACTTGAGCAGCACTGCATTTGAATGCAAAAGCCAGCATTTGATTGCAACACCCAACTACACAATCCCTAATAACCTGGCCACCTGGACAGCAGCACATAAGATTCATTAATAGGACAATGTTAGCAAATGGCTAATCAGACATGGCTACATGGGTATGGCAGTGACAGTGTTACATTATCCCTATCCATAGTTTTGAGATCTACAGGCATAACTCCTAATACCTGTGTATGAGACAATTCTATCTTCCCATTGCCTTCTGCACATTGCTACAGAATTGTATGGGCTTCCAACCTACCACAATGGTCCTACATATTGGATCTGCACTATTTATCTGTACATCACAACGTACAGTAATGCATTACCGTGTGTTGCAGATGTGTTTTAGCACATGACGTGTCATTAAAATGAACAGCACTGTAACCCAGCACTCTGTGGTACATGCATTGCAATAACGTGTGTTTTACCACCCATTACTACAGTCCATAGGTCTGAATGGACTCGTAAAGTCTGAACCTGTGATACACACACAAAACTAACCATTAATCAACTTGCCCAGAGCAAGATATAAACAATGTACATTTATGGGATGTTATGATGATACCTGGGATGCACATCTGTGGAACCTCCTTGCTGTAGAAAGATGTTTTGGGATCTCTAAATGCTGTTCTGGATACTGCAACCACTGACTGATGTGTATGGGGACAATGCCGTGTAACTGCCACAATATCCTCATCCACCTGATCCACATAAACCTAACACAAGACAGACAGACAGACAAAGAAATTAGAATTACATATTTTTATTACACTACATCGCCTTAATTGAATGGTTATATACAATACAGAGAAGTATATAAAAATGGTAAAAGCTTGCACAAAGATGGAAAGGTTTAAACAACTGGAGCAACAAACATATACAAATGGTGATTAAGGTTAAGGTACACTAATGGAGTCAATAATCACATTGGTAGTGTACATTGATGAACAGGACAAACAGATTCAGAATACATGAAGATGGTGAACACATTCTAAGACTCAGGATGTGTGACACAAATATGTAGGAGAACTGTGGACCCAGAACAAAAATTACCTGAATGAATCCGCGGGCTGCCAGTTCTTGGTGAAGTCTGTTCACAGCTTTCTTGCCTATGATGATCCCACTCTGTCCATTTACTTCAGACGAACTAGGACCATTTAGATTTGGGTTCCACTTGGTGTAGAATCTCTCCTCTGTTACCACTGAGATCTGCCATGAAGAAGCAGTCTTTCATTCTGAACTTCAATATTTAACAACTAGCCAGTAATATTTGGGTACATTAATGAAACAAATACTCATCACAGTAAAATATATATTGCATAAATGGAAAAAATCACAGCTAACCTGATGGGGAACCAGTTCATCATACCCCCGAGTACCCCCTGTAGCACAGCAAGCCATGGACACAATGGCAGAACTGGGTAACAAATCATAAGCAGATCGATGCTGCAAAAGAGAAAGCATGTCAATATTATATTATGGAAAATTCTTCTTCTGACACACCGTACGGTACAAAGTTCCTATGACACATGGTTTTAAAGAACTGATAAGCCAATGAACACAGGTTTTCTCATTAAAACCACTTATAGAGTTGATATCAGCCTCTTGTAGTCCCGGTACGGCAGAACTCAGACTGAGGGAGAAAGAGAGGCAGCAGAAGGAGCGAGTCAGTTGTGCTGCGGTGTAAGGTGTGTACTGACAAGAGGAGAGAATAGAGTGATATCAGCTTATTCAGAGATAAGCTTCCCCTGCATAGTCTAGATCCTTACAAATGCAAATCCTCCTTATATGTATTTTATCTGTAAATGAAGCTATTTGCCTGGAGTTCATCCTTGAAGGGGAACTAATTTTCCTGGCACAGTAGCACCAGATTGCTAAGCAAAGTTGTACCATGCAGCTTCTACCCTGATATCTGTTTAATGAACCACATGTGAAATCTAAACTCGGAGAAAGTGTTCAACACAGAACATCCTCTATTCCTTATTGCAGTCAGGCCTTTAAAAACATAGGAATAAAAGCACCACTACTCCAAAGCTTTAGCAAGGGCAAAAGCTGGGTGCTCAACGGCAGGAGCGTGTGCCGTCTGAAACTAAACAAGTAAATAGTAAAGGAAAAATCCAGCCGCACTCCTTTCCATCCTGAATCAGTTTATTGAAAATCCCCTCTGACATTTCTCCCAGAGTCTCTATAACTAAGCCTAGGATTGGGTGAAACATGTGAGGGGGGCCGACCTGCGACTCAGTGTCACTGACGAATTTTCAATAAACTGATTCACTGTGGAACAGAGTGCAGCCAGATTCTTCCTTTACTATAGGCCTTTCAAAATGTTTATGTAGCTCAAGGGACTGAAATTCTGACCACCCCAATATACTTATAACTACAAAGAAATAATATGTCTGAAAGGTCAGGTGCAAAACCAGATTTCGCTAGCAAGTTGTACTGCAAGTGATGGAGCTCCTTGACAATCCTGAAGCTTTAAGAGGAGATGACCCCTCCAAATGACTACATGATTACTGGAAACCCTCTTTAGGCCTCTATTTGTAAAATAGAGATCAGTTTTATGACTACTCCTTTATTTTAAAGTGTCCTTACTGCTATTGGACTTTCATTGTCATGTGTAACATCCATAAACAGTGCATGGGCAATTCCAGGAACCAGTGGCCTTAGGCTGGGTTGTACAAAGGATCCCACAGGCTCTCCACCATAACGATACACGAGTCGTCCTTCTTCGTGGCTGTTGTATGCACTCATGGCCTCTGATGGGAAGCACGAAAGCACAGGTATAATTACAATGCAATCTTTATCATATGACAATAGTAAGTGTAACATAATAATATGTGATTTTATTTTTTTTAATACTATGCAGAATTCTTTATAAATATCACTACATTTAACAACATTTGAGCACTTGCAGTGCTGTAACAATTGTTTGATGTTGTAATTACTGTCACAATACTACAAGGAAGCTTTATCATATTAACTTAAGGATGTGGAAATGTCAGTGCTCTCATTTCAGACTTTAACTTCAAAGGCCATAGTGTGTGTTTTATAAAATAACGCTGTTGCCTTAACAAATTATTAAAGGGTTCAAGTGTCAAGTGTCATAATGTTTGGTCTCTGTTCTCATTACAGAACTATCCCATCACTTTCTAACCTTGTGACTCCTTTTTCTAGAACAGGAAGTGAGGGTAGTTCTCTCCAATGGGGACACAGAAAGACACTGATGAAGGTTCTAACAATTTACTGCTTTAGACAAATCTAAAAAATGAGTTGCAGGAGTTTAGTCATTCTATATACAATATATACTGAATTCAACTTGTGTGAGGATTTTGTGAAGGCAAATTTGTTTTGAATAAGCATGCATAATATTCAAATTAGAATTATCCTGTTAGAAAAGCAGGAGTTGGTGCAGAGTTAATGCATGCAAAAAACAAGCGCCTACCTCTTATGAGAGAGCTAATGCCCAGCCTAGTGACAAACACATTGTCCAGCTCCTCACTCCCAGTGAAAAGTTCAGCCACCACATACAAGTCCGGACGCAACTTCCTCGCAGCATCCAGTAAGTACTACAAACAGCACAGCCAGGAGAGAGCAGGAGACACAAGTAGAGGAAAGATAGCACAGAGAAGAGGGAACCCGGAGATGGGAAGTAAAAAGTACAAGTGGTTAGAAAGAGAGAAAGTGTCGACAGCACAGAGCAGATGAAACCAGGAGATGGGGAGTAAAGCGTACAAGTGGTTAGAAAGAGAGAAAGAGAAGAAAGCACAGAGCAGAGAAAAACAAGAGATTGGGAGTAAAACAAACAAGTAGATAGAACATGAGAAGGAGAGAAAAGAACAGAGCAGAGGAAACAGGAGATGGGGAGTAAAAATTACAAGTACATAGAAAGTGAGAAGGAGAGGAAAGCACTTGGCAGAGGAAACCAAGAAATGGGGAGTAAAAAGTACAAATGATTAGAAAAAGAGAAGAAGTAGACAGCACAGAGCCCAGGAAACCCAGGCAAGGGATGTAAAAGTACAAGTAGTTCAAAAGAGAGAATGAGAAACAAGCACAGAACAGATGACACCAGGAGTTGATGAGTAAATAATAGAGGTGGTTATAAAGAAAATGAGAAGAAAGCATGGGGTAGAGACAATCAGGAGATGGTGAGTAAAGAGTACAGGTGGTTATAAAGAGAGAGAAGGTGAAGAAAGCACAGAACAGAGGAAACCAGGAGATGGTCAGTAAATAGTACAGGGGATTATAAAGAAAAGAAGAAGAAAGCACAGAGTAGAGACAATCAGGAGATGGTGAGTAGAGTACAAGTGATTCAAAAACACAGAGTAGAGACAATCAGGAGATGGTAAGTAGAGTACAGGTGGTTATACAGAGAGAGGATAAAGAAAACACAGAACAGAGGACACCAGGAGTTGGTGAGTAAACAGTACAAGATGTTAGAAAAAGAGGAGAAGAAAGCACATAGTAGAGACAATCAGGAGATGGTGAGTAAAGTACAGGTGGTTATAGAGAGAGAAGGAGAAGACAGCATAGAACAGAGAAAAAAGGACACATTGATAGAAAGAGAGGAGTAGACAACACAGAATAGAAGAAACCAGGAGATGGGAAGTAAAGAGTACAAGTGGTTATAAAGAGAGAGGGAGAGGAAAGAACAGAGTACAGGAATTCAGGAGTAGGGAAGTAAACAGAGCAGATTAAATCAGGAGATAGTGAGTAAAGAATACAAGTTGTTATAGAGGGAGATTGGTAAAGGGCAGAGATGTGAGAAAGGTGTAGGGACCAAAATTCAAAATGAAAATGAGATAGGTAAGAAAAAAACCCCAGACAAAGACAATAGAACGTTGGGAATAAGATGAAACAATTTGAGTAGGATGACATAGCAGGAAAAGTGATGAAGAAGAAGCAGAAAAAGGAACAAAGATGAGTATGGGGAGGTGGAATGTGACAGGAATAGAGAATAGATGGCAATTACAGCAATGAAGGAAATAAATGAAGTAGAGGTTAATAGAGCATGGGGGGGAAGGTGTTCAGTGCAGAGAGTGAAGCCCAAACACATGCAGAGGATGCACAGCAGGAAGTTATATTCAGGCAGGAAAGATGGAGAAATCGAGATGGAAAGGAGTTAAGAGGGAGAGAGAAAAACAATGGCAGCGTTTAGTATTTGACCGCAGCATTAAAGTACATTAGAGCAGCTTCACATAGCAGATACCTCGAATGAGGCTGGTTATCCCCAGGCGGTTTACAAACACATTGTCGATATATTCACTGCCTGTGAACAGCTCAGCAATCACATAAAGATTGGGCCTCACTGACCGGGCTACGGCCAGCATTTCCTACAGATACAAAGTGCTGTGTGTAACATTGTTTCTCATATAGATGTGCACATCACAGACTTAAAGTGAGTACTATACAAATTATATTAATGTGCATAAAGTCACGTACCCTCCCAACATCACTGGACTATCAACATACAAATAATACCACATTTACAGTTGCAATAATGAAAAAACTGAGTGTTAATGTATTCTCCTCACACACAAGAAATCGCTCAACATACATGACTGAATGACCAGCCCATAAAACTTGCAGGTAGGTTATTTATGATTTGCAAAAATTAAGAATCATTAGCAACAAAAGTGCAATATATGGATTAGGGATGCACCGATAGATCGGCCACCAAAACATATCGGCAGAAAATTGCACTTTTGGCATGATGCCGAAAGTTCCATTTTCTAGCCGATACAGCGGCACATCCATTCTTTCTCTCCTCCCCACTGGGCGCTGCTCTGTGTCCCAGCAGGGAGGAGAGAAACTGCCACAGGCGGCCGAGCGCTGTGAGCTGCTAGCGTCTCTCCTCCCAGCTCAGCATTCTGTCATAGTTTGGGAGAGCAGTGTGGGCGGAGATAGCTTGCAGTGCTGTCATAGGAGGCTGAGCTCCGCTCGCTCAGCCTCCTGTGACAGCTATCAGGAAGAAGAGCGGTACAAACACTCAGCGATCACTGAGTGTTTGTAAATAATTGAGCACATAGTATGTTTACTATCAATTATGAATGAATGGCAATTGTTTAGACCCCTAATATTTCCCCGAAGCCCCTAAAAGTAAAACATTACAATATTTCATAAAAATACATAAATAAAAAAGTTTATAAAAAATAAAATATTTTAAAAAATTGAAGTTAGAATAAAAAACATTTTTGGTTTTGACGTGACATTTATTTTCATTTCGGTTTCGTTTCGCTTTTGACATTTTGATTTTGGTGCACCTCTAATATGGATAGTGAATATCCCTCAGTAGATGTTTATGACAAATAACAGTATACATTGTTATTTATAGTATGGATGCACCGATACAGATACTAGTATCGGTGTCGATACCAAGTATTTGGGCGAGTACTCATAGTCACCCAAATGCTCCCGATACTTATCCCAATACCAGAACTTCCGGTATCAGGAAGCCAGGCGGTGAGTCATTACTAGCCGCCCGGCTTCCTGATTAGCCGGGAAGCTGGCTCCATGCTCCCTTCTCACCTGGTGACGGAAAAGGAACAATAAGACAAGAAAAATGCTTTTCTTTTTAGTAGAGCAGGCATTATTTAGAACCTTTGCATTACTTAACTTTTTGTAATTCATGATTTTATTACAGTCAGTAGTCCAATTAGGTAGATCCTCCTCACTTTCTACCCCACTAACATGACAGACGTTAGTAGAAATCTCCCCAACAAGGACACAGACAACAATAAAAACTACAAAGAGGTCCTATCTCTTCTCAACTCTGTCCAAAAGAAACACAAATTTTAGCTGGAGTTCCACTCTAAATTTCATGAAATATTTTCTTTTACAGACATGGTTTCAAGTGCACTATTATTCTCTGAACCACATCACTGAAATATTTCCATTCATATGTGTGCATTTACAAAAACAGTAAATCACTTATTATTTAATCAGAAGGTGTTATGGCGTTGCTCACCTCTGCCACGTGAATTGGGGTGGAGTGGCAATTGTCAAGGCGCACTCCATGAAAATGCTTAGCAGTGATCTCAGTATACTTCTTCATATGTTCCCATAGGTAGGGACAGTCTGATGGCTTGTCACCATACCTCAGCTTTACGCTGTCCCCCCAGCAGATCAGTTCCCTGCGCAGGTACACATTGGAATCTGGAACAAGTAGAATAATGAGGGTATGGCTTCCCACCGTATGCAAAATGTATTAGAAAAAGGTCAGCTGGTTAAACACATGCAGCTCAAAATGTAAACTTTACAGGGAAAGTATGTATTTTTAGTAGGCACATATTTTGAAATATTACTACGGTCATTTTGACATGGTTTTCACATTTTAAATGCTCGCTCTTTTTGAGATTTTTGCGACTCGCGAGTACTAATGTGGCCGACGTTGCACACGGGGAGAGTTGTCCTGCCCCTTTCCGTCTGCGGCGTCTAACAAATTCAGCCGGCAGCCACACGAGCATCGCGGGAGCATAGCTGTAGCTACCTCCTTTTGCGCCCGAGGCAAGAAAAAAAAAGTTTGCCCCCCCAACAGGCGTGTGACATCACCCAGCGCCCTGCCTCCAGGATTTTTTTTAATTTTGTACTATTTTGTATTTATTTTCTATCATTTCTTATTTAATTAGAATTTTTTTTACTGTTGGGGGGGGGTGGGGGGTGGGGTCTAAAGAGTGGTCTACCGAAGTGGCCAGTCAATGACCCTATCACCTCACACATTACAGACTGGCCAAGACACTTGAGTTCTACAGCATGGCATTTGCTGGTATACAGTATATGTTTCCAGAAAGTGGAGTCTACCCAACTGCTACTTGGAAACATTATTCAGAGGCACCAAAACACATATTTAAGCAAGTAATCATAGCATACAATATATTTTAATGGCTTAAGGCAATCGGGCTGCCAAAAACACTTCTAAGATCAGTTAAACTTGCATACATGACTCAACAATATGCAGAAAATGCATTAACTGATTGAGCAGAAACTAAAAAGAAATTCAAACTTCATTATAATCAAAACTTCAGGAACCAGGAAATGTGCGTAGGAATCAGAAAACACTTCAACTACAACTTTAAAAAAATCTGATTAAAAAAAAAAGCTCATGTGAGTTCATAAGTACTAAAGGTACATGTTAAACCAAAGCGACCTTCAGAAATCTTTAATAATTTTGATAAAATGATCCCACAGCAGGCACCCAAAAGGTGCAGGATATACATGAGTCCTGATGTACAGGTGAATAGGACTCCTCTCAATTCCGTTTGTACTCTGTAATATTGAGTAGTAATGAACTGACTTATTTGAATGTTGGCTATTTCCCGGTGTTTGTACAATCTTCTCTGTTAGAATTCCTCTGGTAAACAATTTAACAGATCAGTGCTGGCAGAGAATGCTGTAAGCACAGCAGAAACATGACAGCAAAGTCGGCTTTGACTTTTAGGATGACAGAGGAAAAACAGAGAACAACAAATTTGCACTCTGCACAAAAGTCTAGAACACAAAGTACACTAGGCACCCTGTACCAGGGATCCCAGAGAGGGCAGAAGGAAATGAAAATACTTTTGATGAGTGGTTCATCTCAAACATTAAGCAAAGTTTTGAAAGTATATTTCTGTGTATTAATGTTACACCACATGCAAAGTTTATTGTTTATCCACTACACTGACCCCTGTGCAGCAAACTGTATGGAGAGGAGTGTTGTCTAAAAATGCATTATGAGGATTGGAGCCTTTCAGATGACAGGATTCTCGTCTTTTCACTTATAACATTATTAGTAAACATTCCTAAAGATGAGGTCCTGAATATATACAGTACACATAGTCGTGTTATAGAATTAAACAATGCTAGGTAGTCCAATGTTCTTCTATACCTGTTGCCCTCCTGTTCCATTGGCCAGACCAGCAACCTGTCAACTCTGGCATTTAGTAGAAGGGCTGGTGTGTCTGAGAGTACTTGCCTGGGGACAGAGTATGAGGACTGCTTAGCTACACATAACCCCGTGTTAATGAAGAACTCTTCAGTTCTACATGTACTGTAATAAGCCATGCGGACAATACCTCATAACCTTTAGAATCTGACATCTTGGAGATTGGGTTGATGCTAACATGTATTTATCTTTTATCAGCAACATGGCTAGAGACTATATAATCAAGCAAAACATGGTAAATCTGCTCGACTGGGACGCACATTAAAAAACGGTATAAACTGCAAAAGTTTTTTTTTTTTTTCTAGAAAATAAACTAAGTACCTGGACCAGCAAAATTTTTCAGAGGGTCGTCCCCCATGACCCAGCCATTGTGAGCCAAGAAGTGGCATGCTTTGTCTTGCTGGTGCATTAGTGGTTCCTCCTCTTCCAAAGACATTGCTCCAAATGGGAAAGTGAAGTAACTGCAAACAACATCGATATGCAATGACGGAAAAACGTATCTATGCCAAAATTTCAAAGCTTTGTTATTCAAACATTTATTTAAGCTCATCTCATGAAATTAGGTATTTACAACATCATGTCCTTATCTTTTACTTCGACGGTTCCAAAGATGTGAAGTAAATAAATGCATATTTAAACTTGATGGATATATGTTACTCAATTTTACTCAATATAAATTATGGCTTCTGAATATGTGAATCTTTCAGAAAAGATGAATAAAAGGATTGTTTACCTGGTGACTATAGGATCCTTCTTCGTTATGGCTCCAAGCTTTGGGCCATGATTTGCTAGACGATCATAGGTGATGGTGCCCAAAATGCAATTTACTGCCTGAAAAAAAGAAAAATGAGATATTGTAGTACATGGCATGCACATTCTGAGCCTGATTCATCAAGCTGTGGTAGGGTATACTGCATGCCAACAGTGGCCTTTTGGCAACGTCATAATATCACTAGATTCACAGAGGTATTCAGGCATAGTAGAGAGGACATGCAGGTTCTGCTGCAGGTATGCACAGTTTATATCTGATAACACCTTTTGTGGTGACAGAGTCACTTTAACCTAATACCTAACACTTAAAGTGTTAGTGTAAAGTGCTTCTCACTCACCTCATAGTTCTAGCCCACCTGTGACAATGAGACTGTCACAGGTCGGCTCAGTAGATCGGGAGGTGAGCGAACATATACCGGTGTTCACTCACTTCTCGATACTGTCACGGCTCTCTGCCGTGACAGGGGGTGGGGCTCGATTCCCTCCTCCCCGCTCCGATCCGCCAGCGCTGACTGGCGGATCGGACGTGGGAGGGGGCGCATACAGCTGGCTCTTCCTCTAGATAGGCAGAGCCAGCTGTCACTCACGCAGCTGGGCGGATCTCGACATCGATGTCGGGATCCGCTCCGGCGTCTCAGTATACCGCGAGCTGTAGCTTGCGGTATACTGAGCTTAGGGTAACGGGAGGACGCTAGTATGTGTCCTCCCGTTACCCTAAGGAGAACTATGGGGGAAAGCCCTGACCCCATAGTTCTCCTTTAATAACTCCAGCACTGCATAGCGCCCTGAGGCGGCTGCACTTTATACTTAGGCTACAGTTAGGGTTAAGGTCAAGGTTTAGCGGTTAACATTAACGTGTATGTTTAGCCATAACTTTTTTCCTTAGGTTTGGATGGAGTGGTGAAGGAGTAGAACACCTGTCTGTTTGATACTGCTGTTCGAGTCTCTATTAGAGAGGTTCCCCTAGATCCCTGCCATGCTAACGAGTAAGGGAAGGCTAGAACCCCTATCAGATATTTTTATTTCTGTCTGTGCTTCTGTTGCAGATCTTTTCTTACACCCTGTTTGGTAAAACATTGTAAGCAGGACAGAAAGCAAGGGGGCTTCTCTCTAACAGAGCACTGGATAGAAGCAGAAACCAGATAGAAGTTCTAATCCTTCCTCACTATCCAAAACGAGACAAATGTGTTTGGCAACGACTTTTCGGTTTAGAGATAACATTAGCTTAAGGGATTTTATTAGTTGCTAAGTGACAGGTCAAGTTTTAAGGTTTAGGTCAGGAGTTAATTTACCGGGTCAGTTAAAGTTTTTGGGTTAACATTTACATTTTTTCTCTTTGAAAAAAGTACAAGCAGGGGGGCTCAAATTGGTATGGCCAGGGAGGGAGTGTAAGGATTTATTGCAGCAGTTATATAAAAGGCAAAAATGAATGACTAAATACAGTAATTTTTAAGGAGACACTGCCACCTTTCCCATTCAGAGCAAAGTAACAGCGTCTCTGCGAGAGTCCCTCGCCCTACTTGTATTTATCTTGACAGACCTTCGCCACTGCCTCTTCCCACATTACAGCCGGTGACACTCCCCTAGCACTTCTGGATATAAGGTGTATGTAACCTCCTTACCGATAACAGTGCTTGGGTGGCAGCCAATCACTAGGCCCAAGTACTATCACATTATACAGACCCATTGACCCCAGCCACTGACATTGGTGATTTCAGTGCTAGCTGCGATGGAGGCAGCACAGGCAATGTGAGTACAAGGGGGTCAGAGAAGCCCCTGTATTTTCTCTGTAAAGAAGAACTCCAGGAATTTGAAAAGTTAACCCTTGCAGTGGGGCTACAAGGGTTAACTGCTCGTTTGACTAGGGAGCGAAAATATGTGTATTAGATGTGAAAACGCTGAAGGACATACCACTGCCAGAGGGGGAAGAGAATTGAGTGGTCATTGCCGCAAGACTGATGATAAGATGAGTATATCTTTTTAATTATCACCCCTACAGAAAAATGAGCAGTTAACCCTTACAGTGTGGGGGTAGCCCACTGCAAGGATTAACTTTTTAAATTCCTTGTTTAAGTAAAAATGCAACATTTCATTTCCCTCATTTTCCTTATATAAGAAGCAGATATTTATAACATTTTGCAGTCTCCAATATAGACTGATATTGTACGAAATAATACAGTCCTAACTACAATGAATTCATGCTGGAAAGAAAACAAATCCAGTAATTAAGTGGTTGAAGGATGTGAATTCTACCTGTTCATGGTGGAAGTTCATCTGTTTGTGCTTCTCAGCATTCAGTTCTTCAAGCCTCTTGCGGAGCCAGTTACAGCATTCCTCAATGGCAGCAGGCCCATTACTGTAGTGATGAACAAAACACACCAAATTAATTACAATAAAATATACAATTTACACACACTGAGGGGGATTTATCAAAACGGTGGCAGGTATGCATGGCAACCAATCAGCTTCTCTCTTTCATTTTCAAATCTTAATTGAACAAACTGAAGAGAGAAGCTGATTGGTTGCCGTGGGCAAATGCTCCAAATTCTGTTTGCTCCAGTTTTGATAAATCCCCCCCCC